TACATCCTTTTATCAAATAGCTAATATTCAAATTAATCTGACAAAGTTTATTCTAGCCACAAACTCTCTTACCACTTTTATATAGTTTTTTGGATTATTAATTTATTCTATTTCTAAAAACCAACTTTTCAAGTTTTTTGGATATTGGTTCACATTTAATAACAAACAATCCCAAGGTATCAAACTAATAAAAAAAGAGGCTTATAATCTTATCAATATTGCTAGCACAAAGAAAATTACTAACAAACAAATTGCTTACATTATTAATATAGTAATTATCCCAACTTTGACATATCGATTACATAACATTATCCTTTCTCATACTACATGTAACCAAATCTTATCCAAATACCTTACTGTAGCAAAACATAAGTTTCATTTTTCCAGATCTATACCAAACAGCACAATGCTTAACCTATATTTATATAATATTTATAATATATGAGACATTTAACTTTAGCATTATATTTTTAACTATCTTCAACAAATTAACAATCCTAATCTTCTTGGCATTACAACTCGAATTAGACTTCAACAACTACAAAATAACTCATAGTTTCTTATTAATATTCTACATTATTCTAAACCAATTATTGATAGTCTTAACAGACATTCATTAAACTTTAAAATTATCCAACACTTTATCCATCTAGGCTTAGTAATCTTAGCTAACTCTAATATTATATGGTCCCATACAATTAGTAATAGAGGCCAGTTACTAGAATCAATCCTATCTTAGCATTCCAAATACTCAATTTTTAAAAAATAACTTAGACAATCTAATATTATGTATCTTGAACAACTCTGCACAGCAGACAACAGTACCTTATTAGATTGGAAACATCTCTCACCTAAACTTTTATTCTTGCCTAAAGGAAGAAAGTCTCTTTGGTTTTCTTACTTAAAAGATACAATTTTAGCACACTCTTATTATCGAAATATACTACCACATTACCAATTACCTGGTTATAACCCTTATGCTTATTATATTATTAATATATCTAAAAAATTTACAAAATTTAAACTTTGGTTACTTTCATATCACAATGAAGAAATTATTATTAGAAAAATACAAAAATACTTTCTCTCATCTAACTATTACTCCATCACTTACTAGACTTCCAATATAGATTTAAATTATTCAAAATTCTATTCTTTACCTCTTGCTGAATACAAACGATATATAGGTTGCTATCTTAATTTCTACAGAATTAACCAAACTTGTATTATTGAAGTTTCTGCAGTTATTTTAATACAATTTCTTGGCAGATCTAATTCTAAACACCAACTCAATCTCAATGCAAATTACTTAGATCTTATCTGCTCTACAGCTGTTAAGCATCCAATCCATATTTTTCCCCTACCTATAATTTCTATTTCTAACTCAATTGCTTCTGAAATCTTTATTCCAAGTAAAACTAATAACAAACTTATATCTATCTCTTAACTTAACCACTTTCATCAACAATTATCCTTTTATACTGATGGCTCAGTAATTAATATTAGTACTAATCAATGCACAATGGGTATTGGTTGGATCCAAGTTAATAATAATAATCAAACTATTAATTTCTTTTCTACTAAAATACAATTCTGACCTTTATCATATAAAGCTGAGCTTTTCTCAATCATTACTACAATATCAACAACTCTACACAATTTAGTAGTCAATATTTTTACTAATTCCTAATTAATAATTTTCAAATTTAATGATCTTCAACTTTACTTAAACTATCCTAATAAGTTATTTAAATTCAATTTATGGCTTATTTGGCACACTCTTTCTAATATTATTAAATAATACAAATTACAAATTATCTTTTATAAAGTGCAAACTCATTCAGATATTAATCTTAATGAGCAAGCAGACTCTCTTGTCAAACAACATCCATCATTACCACTTCTTTCATTTAATTACACAAACCTTTACAAACCTTATCATATTCTTCAATAGAAGCAACATTATGTAGAACTTCTTACAAAATACTTTATTAAACAAATATATAAAGCTTACATATTAGCTATATGGACATCCTAAAAATGTAATAGTGAGTAATTATACTTCAATCAGGATATTAACTAAAGCTTCACTTAACTTTATTTTAATTATAATCAAAAACTCTCACATAATATTACTAATTTTAGACTCAATCAACTAAAATTCTTTAAAATCAAAACCTTTCTTAACGAGTTACTAATATATCAACTATTTTATATTATTTATTCAAACCAATATTTAGATACTAACTGCTTTTAGTGTAACCTAGCTAATTCTTACTCTCATTAGCATACTTGTGCCAATACACTTTTGCTTAACCAAATTATTCAAACATCTACCAATCAAATTATCTTTAGCAAATTAACTGATCTTAATACTTATCAAAAAAACAATCTAATTCATAAAATCCTTTATCACTCAGCTCTCAATTCCTTATACATCTTACCTAACACATTTTATCCTAACCTTACTCTTAAAGGACTTATTCCAAAGTCACTCATATTAATAGTTCAAAACTTTGATATATTATACAAAACTGTCTCTTAGGTTATTATTGATATTTTTCTCAATATTAATGAATAATCATATAAACAATTATGGAAAACATATTGCATTCATTTTTCTAATTAGAAAAAACAACAAAATAAACTTTAATCTCAACCAATCAACAAATCTTTAATATTATCTAACTCAGCTACTAGACATACATGTTTCTATAGAAATTATACTTACTTATGCTTCTGTAGACTTTCAAATCAACTACATACTTACTCTAATACATGCCCTTCTATTAACTAAGCAATTTGCAAAATCAACATTTGGTCTATTCTATAGATCAAATATAACATATCATCAAATTATATACTAAACATTCAAATCTAGATGAGCTTTGACCATTCTGGTAGGTTTAGGTCACAGATAAATTAGTCTGAACTTTTATTCTTGTATGTAATTTTCAATTTATTTGTTTTGTACAAATAGTAGCAGCTGTATAGATAACAGTTTAACAGTTAACCCTAACTGCAAGTGTTGGCTTTGGACATAGCATATATACATATAACTATTTTAAATTATTAATAAAGATATAAGCAAGACCTTATCTTAATACCAAAAAAAAAATTAAATACAATTTCTGTACTTGAATAATGTTAGACATATAATTTCAAAAAATACTCTTTCCATAGTTGCCTCTTGTGGTTGTAATGCAACCATTAGCTGAATGTATTATCAATAAAATCCTAAGTCGCAAGTACTCACCTTAATATTTAAAAAAAAAAAAAAAAAAAAAAAAAAAATGTTAGACATATAATTTCAAAAAATAAATTACTAAAAATAAATAATATTCAATTAATAAAATTTTTGTATTAAAGCTTTAACAAAATTGTCAAAGAAATAAAAAAAATAAAAAAATAAAAAAATAAAAAAAATAAAAAATATGGTTATATATATAAGATTATATAAAATAATTTTATTATATTGTAATTATTGTTATGCATGATTGATTACATAGATACAAGACTTTAGCAGACCTCTTAAATAGGCAACCAAAAACTGCACATGTGACTAGTTGTACTTTTATCTGTATAAAATAATTATAATAACTAATCCAATAAAAATTAATAAAGTTCTACTATAAAATATGATCTTTAATACAAAAAAAATCAAAAAAAAAATCATCTTAATACCAAAAAAAATAAAAAATAAATAAACATTACACCACACTTATATACAAAATTTGTTTTTTAATATAAGCCTGTTATTAAGTTTTATACTAAAAACTGATTTAATTACTATTACAAAACCTTAGACTAAATGTTATTAGTACCAAAATTTCGACCAATGAAATCCGATCATTCATGACGATCATCACATGATTGCCGATTTCTTATGGCACCACTAACCTACTAAAAATTTATTTTACAATACCATTTTATTATCATAACCATGAGTGGAAGTTGTGTCGTTGATTTTTTAAGCTATAATTTTGATTGGCTAATTGCTCGTCATGTGATAATGTATGGGCCGAGAACTACCCCAGTATCGCCATAAAAATTCTACTATCACGTCACTATAGACGGCAAATTGACCAATAATGAGCCATGGTTTGGTGTAACGTAGCACAATCAGGAAATTCAAAACAAACGTTAAAAGACCGTTATTTTGTCAAAAATTGCACATTTCTCAAAAATTTGAATAAGAAAACACCTTTTGTGCTCTAACAAAAAAATTTTCTTGAGCAATTTTACTATAAACCCATTAGTATCTAGCCTTATTAGAAATGCTAACCCTAACCTAAATGAACTTTAAAATTTTTTCGATCATCACGTGGTAGCAGAATTTTTATGGCGATGCTGGGGAAGATTGGGCCGAGGGCGAAAATTCTACAGACATAGCTTAGGGACAGAACAAATCACGTAAATAGTTAGTTATTGGTTAGGGTAAGATAATATCACGTGAGTTTGTTCTGTCCAGAACTCTGCTTTGTTTTGGTTACACTATATCAGGCGATCTGATTGGCTCTACCTATAACCAGGTGACATCACACCAGGGCATAAAAAATTTTTAACTTCGGCTAAAGATTTTTTGTACAATAAAATATAGATAATGACTGAATAAACATCTATTTATAACTTGGATTAAATATAACTATCAGGATCCAAACGCTAATAAGCATTATTTTCAAAACTCAGGTTCTACTTGTATTTCATCCTCAACTGAATCGAGGATATCGTCTTCGTCAAATGTAAATAATTCCACTGAATATTCCGGTAAGTCTGCATCCTTCATATATGATTGAGATTTCCCACGTCTTACATTCTCAGTCTTTTTAAAAATGTTTCTCTTCGAATATTTATGGTATGACTCGAGACAACCACGCATTGACTCTAATGATTCATATATCAATACATCACATGCGATACGATTTGCCAACCGAGATAATAATGGATGTATTTTTGAATCCATAATAAGAGTTGTAAAATGTGCATCTAACAATAAGGTCAAAAATTCTAAAAGCTTTTGTTATAAACAATAAATATTAGTAATCGATTAATATTAAATATCAATCATCTTTTATGATGTCTGATTGCTTACTTTATGAAACTCGGGTAAATTACTTGCAACGTTATTACATTCATGCGTTTTTGGTTGTAATTCTCGCTTTTTTGATAAAACTTCTTTTACGAATTCTGTCTGATCGTATTTTTCGATCCATCCACATAATATTTTCATAATAGTCATCACTTCATCTTCCGTTAATTGACGTAAACTCCATATCATCATATTATCATTTTTGGGGGCTGCAATAAGATACCTGAGTATACTTCCGATTGAAAATGGTTTGGTTTGACTCGATATTGCACATTTGAGTAGATGTATTAGATCATCTTCGGGAATGTCATTCATAAAGTAAAGGGCTATTTTGACTAAGTCCTGTAATATGAAATTTAAAGAGAAAATAGTATTACATAATAAAATAATTGATACATAATAGTAGGGAAAGTATAAATGTTAATTTACCCATGCTTCCCTTTCTATTAAAGCTTTGATAATCCCGCCCTTCACAAACTTGTTTGACATCATCTTTGATTGAATAAAATATTGGATGACTTCTGGCACCCAACAATTCAAATTTGGTGTGCCATCCGAATTTTTAGATAAGCAATATTCGATTACCGTTTGAATAAAGTAATATGATAATTCTGGCCTTTGCGCTTCTCCTGACTAAATCAAAATTTCATAATTAATTATCAAATAAATGTTTAAAACAATAAATTATCCATAATCATAGGATGTTTACCTCAAGATATTCACACACTTTTTCTTTATTAAGAATGTATTTTCTTGATTCATATGTTTTTATTTCCCATTCTTTCCATAAATCTCGCCATTTTTGATTATCATCATCTTTAATACCGGGGTTATCGTTATCATCTTCATAAATGTTTATAGTTTTCATTTCTTTAGATTTCTTAGAAAACTTCTTGTTACTCTTCCAATATTCCAGATATTTTTTGTATTGTTCTTTATCTATATCATTCTTTTTCAAAAAAGATTCAAATGCCTCTACGCCTTTTTGTTTCACAAAAAGTTGAAATCGTTCTCTAATATTTTCAGTCGTATGAGATTTGAAAAAAAGGAACTTTAAAAATTTGTATTCTTCTCTTTGTAATTCTTTAATATTATTTTCAATATTATTTAAAATTTCGTTAGGAACATGTTCAGTTGATTTCTAAAATATTAATATAATTATTAGAATCGATATGAAAAAATAATTAATAAAGTTATAATCAATAATATAAGTTATGCTTACAGGTTTTGTATCTAAAGCAATACCAAATCTGGTAATTCCGAAACCTCGAGTATAACCACTTCCCAATTGTAAATATGCAGATGAATCTTTCATGCGATTTAATGCGTGTAGCAACGTCATTGGTTCATAATGATATCGACAAATGAATGTTGATAATTTAAAAGAATTGGGATTATTCGGTAAGGATTCAGATAGTGTGGATATTATCAAATTGCTACCAGGTACAACGATAAGCTGATATTAAAATTTAAAATAAATGCATTAAACTTGATATGATAAACGGTAGTGACATGTTGATGAACTCTATACCTGAAATTTAAAAAGTGAAGGGTACGATACAACATCTGTAGGGTTTTCTTGCTTTAACGTGCCAAGCACGCACTCAGCTTGTAATGTTCCATAACGTAAATCCCATATAGTCAAAACCTTATTGACTTTAACATAATAAATTGTAACAAAGAAATCAATTTTGGTTGAGTATTTATAATATACATGCATATATGTCACCTACTTGACGCCGAAGTTTTTTGCATTCCAACGAGAGCCAAATAAGAATCGGAAATAGGTGCGAATCCAATCGCAAGTTCTCCTTGTATTGTCGAAAAGCACTTCTCCATGAACGGTATCAGTCCATCAAATTCAAATTTCCAAATTTCGGATATCGTTATATCAACATTGGATTCGATAAGATTAAAAGTGATCATAAATATTTTCAATACGCCCGATGAAACTGTATATCCATATTGAGGTTGGTTAGACACGATCTTAATACCCTAACGAGAATTAAAGATGGATTTCATGATAGATTACATAATATAAACAGTCTCCCAGTCAATGGATCAAAGTTGAAAGTTAAAGGAGTTGACAACTATTAAGAAGGACAAATAGATTATTGGTAATTTTATTAATAAAAATACATGTCATTTATGAAATGCTTGTAGAAGAAATAGACACCTGCTCAGAGAGTGTGTAATGACCCAAGAATCCACAGCACAATTTATCACAATTAATCCATGTGAACGATAGAAAAAGGTGTTTAGAAGTAAAAGTTGTACTGTTTTTCTCAGATTTATTCATCGAAATTGTGAAGACCACCAAAGATGGATGTGGTAAGAAGTTTGTAGGAACACATGACCCAGAAGAACTAAAAAGAGTTGACCAGATGACACGTCTTTCATTTTTTTTCTTTTTAGTTTTAGCACCAATAAAATTATCACCAACAGGTTTTAAATTAGCCTTAACTAGTAACAATGAACCATCTTTGTTTATCAAAATGATATTTTTTGAAAGGAGGGGAGATAATTCTAGTGAAAATATCTCTTTTTCAAATTCTCTAGCCTTTAAGAAAATAATACAGAAAATTAATAAAGACATATATTTCAAATTAAATGCAAATTAAACAAAAACTCAAATACACACCTTCTTTTTCGTTGACTGGGGACCTTCTAAAGACTTTTTTCTGTCTTTCCAAAACCATATAACTTTATCTGATCCCGTAACATCGTTATCCGAGTGAATTATAACGTAAACATAACATCTACCAGACTTTATAATACACTTTGCTGGAGTAATTACGGAATATTGAGGAGGAATCTCCCAATTACGTAACTGATGACCATCATCCTGTAAGGTTAAGTATATGAAACAAAAATATAAATACTGAAATGTAAACATATATTAATAAAAAAAGGTCGTATAATAAAGATAAGCTCACAGAAACCAAAGAAATGCCAGCTCCTTTACAAGTCACAAGAATCTTCTCTTCTAGTTCGGGATCATTCTCATTAATTGTAGATTTTTCCGTATCGCTTTTAATAGAATCGACATCATTCATCAAATCATTTGCTTTCTCATCGATTGTTTTATTGTCAACTTTATTAAGAATTTTTGAATTCTCTATTTTTGAACTAATTTCTACCGGAATGCTAACACTAATATCAAATAAGTTATTTTGTTTTTCGATTGTAATAATCTTTTGAACTATCTCGAAAGGTTCTTTCAAACTTATTGCGCTCATTGTTTCTAATATACAAAATATTGAACTTTTTTTTTTGTAAGATAATATATTGATATTTCGTTTTATCTTTTTTTTTGCTGATGTAATTTTCATTGGATGATTATTTTAGGTGCAGGGTTTACCCAGGTATAAAATGATAAACATTTTATTTACTTCCGTTAGAACATTAAAAGATAATTTCTTAGCCGTTATTAGCGATCTTTAACAAATTTCACATTATACCAACAAACCTGTTACATAAGTTATCAAAGTCATAAGCATACAAGAATATTTTGTGAATCTATTTAAATCCAACAATTTTTAGTATTGTCGAAATTAAACCTTGTGCTGAATGTGCTGTTACTAAATATTCTAGATTTCGTCTACTAAGCAAGAAAGGTTCAGCAACTAATCTAATAAGAAATATAGTTTTACTAGCAGTAACCTGTGGCAAAGCCAAGGGAATTTACAAATATTTTTATTTTTTTAAGTTACTATTAAAAATAAATTATTTTTCTTATTGAAAATTAAAAAAAATTTTTTTTTTAAGCAGTCTTGTTTTTATGTATATATGAAGTTACAAGAACATTATTGTTCAAGTTAATAAAAATTTATTTAACTTCAAAGTATCTCAAATATGATTTATCAAGCATATTATTTATTTGATTTTGAATATTTTTTTTTTACCTTTAGCAGTTATGTTAGTATTTTATTATTATTATTTTTTATTTTTTTTTATTTTTTTTTTTTTTAAGGTAACCTCTTTGGTCTTTTGACTTTTATTAATCACTTATCGGTATTGTGGTTCAATGAACCACTACAGGAGAGCATACAATTGGCTACACATATAACTTTTTTATATTACCTATTTAAGAAGTTTGTTTGAAGGTTCTTTACCAATTGTCATATCTAACATTTCTGCTTGGGTATTCTACTTTAAATTCTCTGAACCTGTAATCTGTATTAACTAACTGGGTTATATCCAGATGCTCAGATCATCATCTCAACCTTAGGATTAATTTATCTTCGAGATAAACCTCTTAGAGTCTTTTGTATTTATTTTTATAGTTAACTTAGATATTATTATGACAGAACCAACACTTGCAATCAAGGCTAATCATTAAACTGTTATGTTCTTGTAGAGTTCATTTAGATCTCAACATCTACTTCATAGCATAACTTTGATATTTTAGTATATACTTGCCTTTTCTTTTACTTTTTTACCAAACTTTCAATTCAGATTATCAGTATAGAACTACAATCAATTTATTAGTATATTGGGTCAGCTTGATATTCTTTTCCTTCAATTTATTTTGGCAGTCTAGTTAGTAATACCTCTGAGACTCACAATTCAGAAGTTTTTGCTTGTTTAATTATTATGATCAGGTATTAGATCTTGATATCCATTTCACTAAGCTAGTTTTTATAGTAGGGTCATTGAAAATTCAGTTATCTTTTTACTTGAGTCTTCTTAAATGAACTTCTTGTTACCTAATTTTAATAGATTTATATGGCCACAAGGACATATCTAGTGTTTGCACTATCTGATTTGTTAGTTTGCATTTTTTTGTGTAATTTTAACATTGCACAGATATTCCATGACCTGTCAGTTATGCTAGTGTAATTGCCATTACAGATATTCTAACTTAATTGTTAATAACAGTTATCATAATATAAATATTATATAGGTGATTATTTAAATTTTTGTTATCGATAGAATTTGAACACCTAACCTATCACTTAAGGGGTTGACAACCTGACCACTTCACTAGATCATCACACCTCTTAGTATTTTATTAGAATTCTTGAAATTATACAAATTATATAAAATTTTTTAATACTTAAGTTTAGTATTATTCAGTTACTTATTGGTATCTAAATACAACTTGTTGCATTACTTCAAACAAAAGTAAACTGCTTATATGACTATTGTCTTCTATTAATCTAATGATATTTTGTAAGAAGGCAAAAAAAATAAAAAAAAGATTTTATATATAAAAAAAAACAGAAATATAAGAATAAATAATAAAAGATACAAAACAAAAAATAAAACAAAAAATAAAACAAAAAAGAAGATAAATAAAAAAAAGAAAAAGCATAAAATTTGCAATTTACAAAAAATTAGATAATTACAATTTTAAACCTATATTAAGCATGAAACTTGTATTTATAAATATTAAATAATCATAATTATAAGCTTGTATTAAGTTTTTAAAAATTATAAATTATACTAAATAGAAATTACTTTACTATTTTTATATTTACTTAGATTATTTAACAAAAAACTGCAAAAAAAAAAAAAATTGACTTAATTGTAAAAGGTTAGTATAAGGTATTAGTTAGTTTAAAGATAATGTTTAACAAATTTTTAGTAGTTTAAGATATATATAGTTATATTTATATTACTGTATTTTTTTTTTTTTAGTTTGAAGCAGCAATCTTATTTGTATATTTTTATTAAGTAATATATAATTATATATTTTATATATAATAGTCTATTAATAAAAGTACAACTAGTCATATATATAATTTTAGTAATTATTTAATTAAAAGTTTTGTTTATAGGTTAGAGGTTTACATTGGGTCCTACTATCTAGCCCAGCTCACAAATTTTTGTAAACCAAACTAAACCTAAAGTAAAATTTTATAATTGCAAACCAGGCTGTATCTAAAATTTTGCAAATCAGGCTGGATTAAACTGGATTGAAGAAAAAATTTACTTATATATAGGCCAGACCAGATTGGCAAAAAATTTTAACCCTAAATGCAGACTGGATTGGGTCTCAAAAATAGACAATTTGCAAGTTTTTACTATAGATTACTCACTAGATACTATACTTGAGACCTACTTATGAGTTTTCTATTTAAACTTTCTAATTTTCAATATATATTGCATATATATACAATATTTATATTACTATTGTAGTAACATATCAAGTTAAAACTATTTTAGTTACTATTTATATCAAAATACTACCTTATTAGATGTTACTAAGTATTTATATTTCTTCTAATTTACTCTTAATACATATAGTATCAAGATTATTTTTTAGATCTAATTTAGTATAACCTGTATTTATCAAATCAGTTTTAATACCAAAAATGTTCAAATTTTAGTAAGTTTATTTTTTTTTTATAATTTTCTTTTATATTTATCATATCATCTGCTAGTACATCTTCTCTTTATTTTTAATATATTTATTACTTTTTTTATATTAAACATCAACTCTTTATATTGGAAAGCTTCTTTCTGAAAACTTTTTTATATATTAATCTTTTATTCACATAAACTTAGTCATAAGGCTTTGTGTATATTCATATGCTTTCATAGATTATAGAGTTTTGTTTTTAGCTGAAATTGAACCCTTAATCTTATCTGTAAAAAAAAAAACACCTAGACTACTAGATTACAAAATCTTATCTCTTATTACTATATTTTTTCTAATTTGTATTGTCAATAATCCCATTTAGAAAGTAAATACTGTTGAATGTTTTGGTAATTTTATATATTGATCTTTAAAAAAAAATAAACTGAATTATTTATTTTTACAAAATTTTTTTTTTAAAAAAAGTAAAAGTACTAGATGAACCAACTTTATAGCTTTTGTAAGTTTTTATTTTTTAAGAATATTTGAGCTAGATGCTGAGAAAAGGAATGAAATTGACATTTTTTTCAAAAGCTGTTTTTTTGCATAAATTAATTTAAAATAAGATTAAGATCATTTTTTACTTAAAACTTAAAAGTAGTTGTGTTAATAAAATTTTGTAATATAGCTTCTTAAAGTTTGCATTTTTTTATGATTTATTATAATGTTATAGGTGAAAGCCTTCTTAATTTTTACACTATAACGACGACACGGCACAGGGAATCCCTTACGGGTATATGCG